TTTTCTACATTTAAAGTATGAATACTTGATTAGCCCAACAACCAGACAGGTTCTCTAGTAAATAATATTTGTGATTTTTAAATGCAATAAAGATGACTTCTCGAAAAGAAGCCAGCAAACTTGCTAAGTTCATTTCATGATGAAAAGTAGGTCAAAGGTCAATTACAAGGCCACGGATTGCACATATAGGCTATATGATTTCTTACTCAAGTTTAAAAGTTACTATGGGCTCATCTCTGCCAATTTTAGAGTATTTCACATTTTATTTTCACCACTGAATATTGCGATATTGTACTTTTTGATACATTTTGATAGCGCAACGAACTCCTATACCGTATAAAAAAAAGACACCAGTATTGGGCTTGGCAAGCTCTACAAAATACAAAAGACAAGAGGTTAAACTACACAAGGAATAGGAACCAACAGCATGGCTGTTTAGTGTGCAAACAATAAGTGTGGAATATTGCGATATACTCACCACGTCTCCGTCGTTTTCGCGATAATAGGCGGTAAGATGCAGCGCTGTCTCTCCACTCTCACTGCAATGAACCTTAATGTCTTGTTCCTTATCCAGTACATATTTGATCAATTCTGCTGTGTCTGCTTCTTTAAACTTCTTTTCAAGGTCTTCCCAGTCCTTTATCTTCGGGACCACCATCCCTTGCGCCTGACTTCCATTGCCTGCAGACATTCGTTCTCAATCTTCTTTCAATTTATATAAATCTCTTCGGGGAACTGCCTATAAATTTTTTTGTCTACTAAGGCAGTCTTGTGCAGAGACACTTATACTCTGATACGAATCCATGGTGGTTTTTATACCAATATGTGTTTGGTTGTTATAGCGATACTTAGTGTGCTGACGCGATGGATGCATTTACATTTGATTAAATGCTCTAAACGTGTTTGACTGCATTGGCAGGTAAGTACCAATATGGACTTATGGATATACTAGTAAGCTATAGGGATTTTTTCAACTCAGTCTTACATTATTACCTATCAATGTTTTCATAAAAAAGTACAATTAATGAGTCAGGAATAGAATAAGAAATTTAAGTTCACACTGAAGAGCAGTAATTATCAGATACATAAGTTTACATTGACTAATTTCTGCAATCAATGGAAAAGTTTACATACATACATACATACATACTACAAAAATAAAAGCCCCCCCCCCCCCCCCCCCGTAAGAGTGGTTATATAATTTTTAAAGCCTATAAATAACTAAATACCTTTTATTCCTTTACAACATGCTGAAACCTATTACATGCAGTCAAATTCCGACTCTCCGCTGGATGAATGGAGCTGCACCGAATATGGAACTGGCGCGAAGCGTGTAAATGGAACCATTCTTAAGAAAGGCTTTATTGGACGAGACTGTCGGTGACAAAAGGAAATTGATTGTTTTATTTGTACTTTATTGAAATATACACTACCGACAACTGTTTTTGTCATTCACAAATCGATCTACTGGCACGTATTATTCACGTTTTTTTATAGCTTTTTTCTGCTCTGTTGGCAAATATAGGTGCTCTGCGGGCATTTATATGCTTTCGCTATCAATTAATGCTGGATAATTTGTTATAAGTAGGTCTTCTTAAGGCTTATTAACTTACATGCAAAACACCTGTTAGTTTTGGGGTGTTGTACATTATTATGACGCGGTGGATGTCTTAAAAATGTTGATTAGGAAGAGCAGATAGAGAGCAGTGTATTTTTATTGCAAATAAATATGTTTGTATTTAATTATTCTACGCGTATTTCAATCTATTTCATATAAACCAGTTATAGTGATAAAACAAGCATGGAGAATATATATTAAAAAACAAAATGGTCTACAAAATTATAATTCAAAAAAACAATTTTTATTGTTTATAAAAGGCATTGATCTCTAAGATAAATCCTGAAAGGAGCCATATATCTAATGAAAATCTCTCCGTACCTGGTTTCCTTGATCAAGAAATAACCTATTGCTCAAGATTGCTGTCACACCTAATAAAAGTTATTGATTATGATACAATTGCCAACCATCTGATATATTCCATCCATTCAGAAACCCTTTTCCAATACTAACCCGAGAAAATAACAAAAGAGCCTTTAAACTTCCTCCTAAGTACCCCCGTACTTCAGTTAACTATTTTTTAATGTCTTCATGTGATCAACTCTCCTCCTCCACTAAATCTTTACCTTCAATCTCATCTTTAGAACTCCATAAAAAATCACCTCACTGCTGGGTCGCTTTCAACAACAACACTAAACTTGGACAGAAATCAAGAAAAAAATTCTTAACAGAGCGAGGGTCGGGTGTTTATTTAGAGCAGAATTGTTTAGGCATAATTTGACTACTATTGACACACCGCACTGCACCTGCAGTGCCCTTGAAACTCCTCTGCACTTCTTTTTCAGATGCCCCTCACTCAATATAAGGTACCCTCCCCTTTACCAAAAAATAAATGAAATTCTACATGAACGAAAGACCTCTTTCAAAACACAAAAAGAAAAGTTGCCCCTATTTCTCTACGGTCATGGATCTCTATCACCTACCCAAAATGAAATGATATTCGAAACTATTGCAAATTTTCTACTCGAAAACCTTGTCATCACTCAATAAGTACATGTACTATCTCTTCTCTATTTGACCAAACTAGTTACGATCTTTTTCTTCTTTCTTTTATTTTCTTTCTTTCTGTACTTAATTAGTTCTGGAAACTTTTGTGCTCCATATTGAAATATTTGAAGTTAGACATTTTATTCTGTTGTATACACGTATCCATTTGTTTTATTTATTTACTTATTTAATTTTGTGGAGAGCATTTAATGCTCCCAGCGCTTTGCCTCCATTTCTTTCGAATAAACGTTGTAAAAAAAATGTCAACCTTTCTTATTGCACAGTTGTATCGTTGCAGACACAAAGCGTTTTTTCACTAAACATGCAAAAGAAAAATAACACAATTATATTGCACATTTCCTATGGATGACATGGGTTTTTCAATATGGACCCTGAAAATAAGCGCTTTTGCAGATTCTTTTACCGATTATTCTAATAAAACAAAACCGCTTGTAATTCTCCATGGAAAATTACAATCAATTTCAAAATTCTGATCGCATTTCTTTATTAAGACTAGTATAAAGTAATTTATATCATTGGCGGTTTTGACTCCCACGTGCACTGTGCTGCAGGTCATGCTGTTCACTAGTCCCACCAATCTTTTTTGGAAGATTTTGTTCCACTCTTGGATCAAAGCTTGTCTCAACTGTTGGGGATTTTCTGGTCGTGAGTTTCTCCGGCATACAGCAGAAGATGTTGAATACGGTCAAACCAGGGTTTTTGGCGGGTTAGTCCATCTATGGAGGTCACGTAATATGATGGCAAGTAAAAATTCAAAAATAATTGTCTTAACCACCGTTTTGGGGGCAAAATAGAATTTATTATATATCTATGAGTTATTTACAATGTATTTATTGTGAAATGTGGACATCTTACGAACGGTTTTTATCCCTTTAAAGAAAACAAGTTGAGAGCAATGCGATTTTTCATGAATGTACATACGCACATGTACTGATGGAGATGCCAATCTATATTCTGTATTTTTTTACACTCCCGGTCTGCACCGTTGTTTTGTATATTATGTTTTTCGTGAGACATTTTTCGACCATAGAGCATTGATTTGCTGCAGCAAACCTGTTCCAATCACCTTTTGAGTAAAACATTCTTTCAAAGCAAAGATGGGCATTGTTTCACCATTGAATTATCAATAACACCACCAGCTGTGTTTTCACATTATTGCTTGAAGTGCATGTTTGCCAATAGTGGTGAATTACATTATTGATGAGTTACTCTCATTTGGCCATCAACAAAGCAGCGTTTATGCCATCAACAAAAACAGTGTTTATGCCCCTCGGGGCGTCCATACACACCAAGAAGTTATAAAGAGATCTCTTTATAACTTCTTGTACACACTCACATTAAGGGCGGATCCAGAGATTTTCAGTCAGTCTTCTAAATTATCTTTGTTGACCCATTGCCTTGTAGTTGTGAAAAGATCCGTACATGTACTTATGATAGGGCTCTGTTAACGTTTGTGTATACAATTAAAAGATGACTTTTAATTGCTGTATTAATTTTTGAAATTCGCTTTAGAGATGTAAAACTATATACTTTTGAGTAAAACATTCTCTCAAAGCAAAGATGGGCATTGTTTCACCATCGAATTATCAATAACACCACCAGCTGTGTTTTCACATTATTGCTTGAAGTGCATGTTTGCCAATAGTGGTGAATTACACTATTGATGAGTTTTTGTCATTTGGCAATCAACAAAGCAGTGTTTTTTACCATCAACAATAAAGCAGTGTTTATGCCCCTCGAGGCGTCCATACACACTCACATGCTGGTGCGAATCCAGAGATTTTCAGACAGTCTTCTAAATTATTTTTGTTGATCCATCCTCCATTTTTGACCGTCTTCCGACAATAAAAGTTAAATGCCCGTCAATGTAAACTTGAAAAATTCTGACCGTTTTCCGGAAGACTCAAATGACGGCTGCCGTCCGCCCCTGATATGTATATGTATAAGGTTCGGTTATAGATGGCGCCCTATTATCGTTTATTTTATTTTCATTTTATATCATTCTATTTACGAGGGTTGATTGATAAGTAGTGAGCCTCGTGTGGAAGGGGTTAAGCAGGGATATCCCTTTTCAGTCCTTCTATTCCCTGACTATTTAAAGGTGTGTAGCCGAAGTTTGGTGTCGTTTGGTTAGTATATGTCGACGAGGTAGCACTCTCAAATAAGCAAGGCAAGTGACTTTTGCAAAATGCCCCTGCTCACAAGTCTGCCATTGCCATGGCTGCAATCAACGAGTGTGGCTTTGAACTGATAGAACATCCACCTTACTCGCCTGATGTTGCTCCCTCTGACTATTATCTTTTTCCCAAATTGAAAAAGGCCATTTCAGGTACTCACTTCTTATCAATCAACCCTCGTACTCCCCGCCACAGACTCAGTAGATAGAAACTTCTATCAGGTTCTTGTCGGGGTCGCGAAAATAGACAGACTGAATGGCTCCCAGGGCTCCTGTCCTCTCTACTGGGCCTTCTTCTATAGACACACCACAGGCCTGGTTGGAAATTGAAAAGAAAGGGATACAGAAAATGGAAAAATGATGTGAGAATCGGTAAGTTCTTGAGACTTATTTGCCAGCATAATTTATTTCAGGAAATGTGTTGAAATAGTTTCAAGAACAGAGATGATGGCGCTGTTATAGCTTGTATACAACTCTTGTGTTAATGTTATTGTGATAATTGTTTATTACCTCATTTTTTTTCTAATTTCAGCGTAATCATCATTTCTGTTTGCATTTGATCTAAATAAAGGTTCATACAGTATATTTAACTGTAGATTTTTCCTGTAGTTTTTCCTGTCTTTTCGTACATTACAATTCTCTGTCAAATACGAAAAAATGATAAACAAAACAAAGAAAAATGAACAACTGAGTTGGCTGTCGTTTTAGTTCAATTCCTTAATGCGGAATACCAATAATGACATGTCAGTAATCCAACTTTATGAGACTATAAGAATTATACATGTACCTTCAGGTAATTAATAATGTCCTCGATGCTGTGGTTGTGTGCTATAAGACAAATGTCCGCAGATCCTGGAGTAGGGACGTTCGCTTTAGGCTCAAATTCCTTCCCGGCCTCGTGCAAATTAATCTTCTGTTCTCCAAATTTTAGGGCTTTTCTTGTACTCTAGTCACAAAATAAAAGAAGTATTACAGAAATATGAAAAGGGTACATACGTAAATTACTTACATTATATTTCCTGCATATTAAATATGTTTTTGAGGCCCTGGATTCGTTCACGAGCTGGTGTTACTGCACGCCATGCAGTAAAATCATAGCACTTTGTTTCCAGACATGCGTTATCACTAGATCACAATATTTTATCTTAGGCCCAGGGGCTTAGATTCCACACTAGTACAATATAAGAGGGGGTATAGCTCAGTGGTAGAGCATTCGACTGCAGATCGTGAGGTCCCTGGTTCAAATCCGGGTGCCCCCTTTAATAACTGAAAGTTTTGTGAAACATATACGAAAGTATTCTTTTCGCGATTGAGAATGTCACCCTGCACCCTGCAAACCTTCCGTATTTCACATTCAAAGTTGTTAAACTCCTCGATGAAAGTATCATTTTTAAATTATTTTTTATGTACATGAATGCATAGATGCCCAAGTGACTAACAAGTAATATAATACTTAAAGTATTAAAAGTGGTGTAAAACATCGAATCTAAGTGCACGCAACTTTTAAGAGCCTCCCCTTAATCCCTGTCTTACTTTAATGGGTAATAAACAAATATATCCAAAGACGAATTTACTATTTTTTAAATAAAACATCATCTCAAGGTTTTTGGAAATTTTCGACTGACTGAGTGCGTAAGCAGCAGCTCCGGTGGCACAATCGGTTAGCGCGCCGTACTTATAGACAGTACTCCGCCCTGGTAACAGGGTTGAGGCATGCGGAGGTTGTGAGTTCGAGCCTCACCCGGAGCACTTGTTGTGTGTTTTGAATCTTTCAATAGTACACGATTTGGAAAAAATTGCAAGTCATCACAACGTGATTAAAAATCTTCCAAAGATCGACATGGCGATAAAAATGTAAAATGATGACGGAAGCCAAGAGCATACGGGTCGAGCAACATATCCCTGAGAATGCGAAAATTATTTCATTCTTGAGTGAAATTATATTTGTTATGAGTACCTCACACAGAATACCATTAAATTCGCAATATGCAGGCACATTATATTTCACAGTTATTATTATTATTATTATTACTTCAAGTTTCAAGTTTATTCAATCTCACAAGTTGAATTTTCAACATACAGATACAAACAGAACATTTAACATAGAGCTACTACACAGAATTACTAATTCAGCTCAGCATGGATAATATAATAGTACAACATTCGGTATAGAGATACGTGTACTAACTGCTTACCTTAAAGGTGACTTCCTCCATCCCCAGCACATTGGTATAAAACTGGACAGTCTTGGCAACGTCCGCCACCGTGAGGACAAGGTGGTCGAGTCTTTTAATGGTGATTCCAGAATGAGTCATTTTTATCAGTGTATCTACTAGGATAGAAGATATCGTGGACCTTAGATGTGTATTTTTGCCAAAATTATCTGAAAAAGAGACAAAGAGAGTTTTAATGAGCCAAAAACGACTTCCAGATAATGGACAACCGGGCCGGTGTAACGTGACAGAGAGTCCCCCATGACAGACAGTCCGCTTCTCATTCATTTGTACAGGTAAGCCTCGCCCTAGATTTTGACCCATTTTAAGTCAGGCTAACCCTAACCATTATAACTAAATGAAGGGCGGACTTCCTGTTACACGGACCCTCGGTTTTGTTATACCGGGGCTACGATAAATGATTATGAGTTGAGAGAAAGGTGTTTTCCCAGGTTGTTCTACTTTCCTCTGTGAAAGGCACGTTTCCAATTACACATGTGCCTCTCCTCTAGCTCCCATGTGAGAGTCATTTCACCCTGATGAGCAGGATGACAAATGGAGGGTGGGGGTAGTTAATGCAACCCCCACCCCCTCCTGACTGCGAAGAACTATTTGGTAAGGATTTTGTAAGGATTGTGAATATCATATTTTGCTAATATATAATTTATATTTATAGTAATTTATAGAAGAATAATATACTTTCTATTAAGCGCTGGGATTGAAGACACTTTGACACCATATCAAATGCGGTTCTTTTTTTTGTGTGTGTGTTTGTGTAAAAAGAGTGAATTCTTTAGTTAAAATAACAGCGTCCATTTAATTACAACCGCACCTTAAGGCAGGGAAATTACAACACCATAGGAATCAGTTCGGAGAAGGACAACAAATACCTTTCTGTGAACTACAAATAAGTTAGGTTTGCCCGACTGGAATTCAGATATGATCTAGAAAGCTAAATTATGAATTTTGTCAACATACATGTACAAACAGTGCGTCTAGTCTAGGCGAAAATGTCAAAGGTATCTAGTCTTATCATGAATTACTGGAATACTCCTATGGTCTAAGGAGCATTTTCCTTTAATAAATACCATAAGTTATCTTAAAGCATGAGAGTATATAGTACATGAAGGTGCTGTAGTTGTGAACAGGAGCGGGTCAAGAGATATTTTCTGACAGTCTTCCGAATTTATCTTTGTTGATCCATCCTCCATTTTTGACCGTCTGCCGACAGAAAATTAATCCCCGTCAATGTAAACTTGAAAGTACTGACCGTCTTCCGAAAGTCTCAGAAGATAGCCACTCTTTTTCTACTATTACTGTCTACTTCCATGAACAATACTACTTCCATGCTTTAATGATTACGTGACGATATTTTGAAAAAATTCATTCCACTCTGGTGGAAAATTAACCCTTGGCATGTAAGGAACAATTTATTTAGTGTCAGACCTTTAGGATTAAAATCTGATGCCAATATTTCATTTACACCATCAACTGCTAAACGACATTTTATTAGATTTTGTTTATTATCCCCATTAAATACACAAAACGTCTCCGTATATAAGCACTGTCTCTCAAAAGAGAAGTCATATCAAAAATGCAAAAAAAAAATTACAATTATAATAAAATTACAATAAAATAAATAAACCACTGAGTCAGAGCATATTTTGCACAGCTGGCCTAAATAAGTTTATAATCTTGCACAATGCGATGGTGGACATATTGACAGACATGACTTGATATTACTGCATGTATGCTATATTTCGATGCACTGAAGTTCCTTCTCCAAGCTGCTACTTAGGTTTTAAGACTCACTTTTTTTCTTAAGAACTTCTCAAATGCTTTCTAATTAAAAGCAAACAAAAGCAAGAAATATGCACTTCAAAAGGCACAGTACTTGTGCAAAAGCCAGCACAGTTTTGATATTTCCCAGGTTTTGCAGCTCAGTGAATGAGTTTCCAATCGGAAATCTTACGGCACTTTTAAAAAATTAGATTAAAGGAAATTAGATTAATACAATTGTGTTTATATTGCAACTGAATTATAACAGTTTAAATAATAAAGAGTGCAATGCAGATAAAATTCAGAGCACATGAGGGGGATGTGTAACCTTTCAGAAAAAAAAAACAGCAATAGCATTGGTGGTGGGCATACACCTAACCAGGATGTCTGCTTCATGTTCTTTCAACTGGCATGCCTGTATAAAATAGGAGGGGTAACCCCCCCACACACACACACACACCACCACCACCACCACCACCACAACTACCCAACCCCACCACTTCTGATGTGAATGAATAAATAACAACTATTAAAAGAGTACCCTTTCATAAATGACATTCATATAAAAACTTTTACCTATAATCTGCAGATGTATTAACATTATTCTTGATGTCAATAATAATAATAATAATAATAATAATAATGTAGAAAGCGCAGTAAAAAAAACAAATTGACTTGTAAACATTAAAAGCACAGTAAAGAAATGTTAACTTGCTTGTAAATGTTTTCATGTCTTTTTCACAATCAGATCATAAATTAGAGATAAATTTGCTGAACCGGCTCTCACTTTCAAAAGAACTAAAAATTGCACTAAACATGGCTGTGTATCTTATTTGATTCCTCTCCTTGTTTTCCTCTGTATTCTCATATCCACAAATTACAAGAAGTTCCTCATATGGGATGTACCAGAGCTCATAGCAACTTGACTGTTCACTAAGGGCTGTAGAAAGTCTAGTTTGTATAACTAATAATATGGGACATAAATATCCGTTTGTATACATATTGTTAAACAGTACAATAACAACAAAAATAAACATGAATCAATATGAAAGAAGTATAAAGTACATGTCAATGCATAAACTTGGCAAATGTGCATTTAGCAAGAAGCTTTTAACAAAAACACCAAAAAACATATACCAAATTGAATGCAGATTTTCAACTGAAAGGCATGATAGAGATAAAAAATGACCCTGAATTTCACATGTACTTGATTATTTACCCCCTTTTTTCCTACACAGAAGTTTAAACTTTCAATCACGTAGACAAAGAGCCGCTAGCAAGCAGGCTGTTTTTGGCAGAAACTGAAGTTATACCACTCACTGCCACAAGGAACACAGCAGTATTGCCATCTAGCCACAACTTCTCTAACTAACATCAGTTTGTATGTAATTATTCTTGTTTCCACTAGGGTTGCTAAACAGATAGTGCATTTTTCGCTTTGCTGCCAAAAAGGGACTCAAAACTCTTATGAAGTTTGGTAGTCAGAGGTTGATAGTCCATAAGGCCGTTTACTAGTATAGCTCATCTTGATATAAGTGGCACTTATATGCTTTTTGTTTCAAATATTTCAATTACAGCATGCCAATTAGAAAAGAATCATCCAGTAAAAAGTTTTCATGATTTTTTTTTTTTTTTTTTGTACGTATGAAATTGAAGTTTAGCTACTTTGGCAAAGAAATATCTGTATATAGCATCAGTCCTATCTGAACAGCATATGTAACAACATCATCACAAAGTATCTATTTCTCCAAATTCTTTGCAAGGGAGAGCTCATAATGCTTCAGTTGTATTGTGAATCCATCATTGGGACGGATTGAGGCACGCTGTTCACGAACATGATCGAAAGCTTCTTCAAAAGTCAACCCTTCTGTTTTGATAAGGTATCCTATAACCATGGCTGCTGAGCGTGAAACTCCAGCATTGCAATGAACAAGAACACATCCCTCTTGACGCCCTCGGTCTATAAATGAAAATGCTTCGTCAAAGAAATCTGTGATATCAGTCTCTGGGAGATCAAGAATATTGAGACGCAGATACTGGAATTGATCGGGGAACTGGTTTTCCACCATGTAGGCCAGGTTCAAAATGTGGGTCACTTTGTGTTGGAGCAGCAGTTCCAGATCTTGGGCCACATCCTGGGAGCCTGAAAGAAACAATATACAGTAAACTCGTTAGCGTATGAGAGTGCGTAATTACGCGTTGTTTTGCTGTTTTTACGCATTGGCTGGAGCCCCAGCGCGTACGAATACGCACACCTTTGGCTTTGAAGATCGGCGAAGTTGACCAGTCCGTTGACTGTTGACGGTCAGACTCATGTTGAAAATGTCATAATTGATTCCCAAGTGTCTCATTTTTTTCTTAAGATATTTGAATTACCCGACTAAAACATGCTTCTTCTTTCACTGACCCGTAGAGGATGACGTAATCTTCTCTGATTGGTCATAATATGCAAGTTTTAGGTCAAAGCACGTGTGCCTCTCTTTAGTATAAACAAGGTATGAACAACGATGAAATGATCGTTTTTTTATTCACATAATTGTTCAACATTTTAATTGAGCAACCATACGTTTAGGACCAATTTAAATCACTCGCCCAGACCAAATACTTTAGGCCAGTAACCCTTGTGACTTTTGTAGTTTTAGTCGTCAGAATAAATTTTTAGTCGCATTTGACGAGCGGGCGACCGGGAATTTCCAGCTCTGCTGATTACCAGTGATGACAAAATGACGAGAAAAAGGAAAAGCAAAGGAAAAAAACAACAGTCAATTAAAAGGTTTTGTCATGCAAGGTAGGCAAAGTTATTTACTATAGATTTCAGAGTCCGACATACCTACTTGCGATGGTTGCGTTTCGCAACTAGTTTTATCAGCCGGGCAACTAAAATTTAGCTGGTAGTTGCCCGGAAACGCAAGTGACTTTCGGCTGTTCACTTGCCCGGAAAATTTGAAGTGTAAAATTTATTATCACAGACAAAATAGATCGTTTATTATTGGCAGTCATTTGCCGGTTGGAAACAAAGTGGTTTGCAGCAACCGGCTAGCTCCAGATTTGGCCAGCTTAGAAAACAGTTGAACTTGAAGTGCTGCGCTAACAAACATAAATAAAAATTATCTTTCAACAAACTGTGAAATAATATTTCTAGTAATTATTTACAAATTGAAAGCAAAGGTTTAATTTTTATAAACAATTTAGTAAAACTTAAAAACGACGGGTGCCTAATGTTCCCGACTTGACCTACTTTTTGTCGGCATCAATTTTAGGGAGAAACACTAGGAAGAGTAAGAAGTATGAACATTTTGATTGATTAAAATGGCTAAATATGTAAATTTTGTGTCCCTTCTCAAATAGTATACTAAAAAATGCTTGTTTGACAGAGACGGATACTGGGTGACTACTTGTCAGTGTTCTGACATTTTGGCGCCGTTCTCTATCTCTCCCTCTCCCAACTATTACAGAGCGCTTGTTTGACCTAGTTTTTTTAAAAACTTTACTAAGGAAGCAGTTAGGCCAGGAGCATTTTTAAATCTCAGTCAAGAATAGATTGTAAATTTTTTAAATTGAGATCTTTTATTTTGAGATTGTTATTATTATATTTATTTTGAGATTTTTGTTTTCAAGCCAAAAGAGGAATGTTTTCCTTTTGTTACATTTACTAGGTAGCACCAGTTACTTTTACTCTAGTCAAAGAAACACAGTATCTAGTCGTGACCTATGCGTGACCTGTCCATTTTGTTTTTGTTTTCTTTTTGTTAAATTGCAATAATAAAAGATTTTGGATAAAAGGATAGTGGGTTATTGTTATGAAAGTGAACTGTGTGATTGCATGATTATTAATACACAAAATTACACCTTGATGAGCATTTTTTAATTTTACCCCTTCATTTTGAAAATTACCCCTTCTTTTTTTGGGCAAGGGGTACGGTACTCCCTTAGAAAAATCCTACCGAGTGCACTGAATATAGTACAACTACAATTTTTTTTTTTTTTTTTTTTTTTGTAATTTGTGCATACTTTATAAAACAATTTAAAGTGAAACAAAATATAAAATTAGTTCTCTATGTTATCCTTAGCCAATATCTGAATGAGGAAAACAATACATGGGTTCACCAGTATCAAACTGAAGCCAGATCACATAAGGATGTAGAAGCAGTTTCAGACTGTGGACAATTTAAAATAAATGAGATACTTATCATTTGTATGTATGCATTCTCTTCAACCATACAAATGTCAAAACGGATGAAACAGTGACATTTAAACAGTCTTAAAATGACTGACAAACAATTTAATAAAGGAAGAGCACAAAACATGTATTCTTCAATTTTGATGCAATATAGTAAAATAATTGAAAGTATCATCACTACCAAATTCCAATTATGTATGTAACTGACACCCAAAATAGTGGTGCTTTGCTAAAGATTTGAATAACATGAAAGGTCTGCAATGCTGACAGAGAAAAATTACACATAACAACAATGACCAACAAGGCAGCTGAAGGCAGCAAATCTATGAGTCTAATATTGAAATCAATTTATGTAAGGGAAAGCTGACTTAATAACACAAGAATCAAACTTTCAGAATAAGACAGTCCAGCCTAATAAGTCTACTGTAAGAAAATATTTAAACATGGCTGAAACATGACTTAAATCCAGCCTACATCTTCATCAACATCAAAGACAGGTATCTCTTAAACCCAAACAAACATGACCAGGAAAACAAGTGCCATTTTAGTCTTGTGAAATGTTTTAAATACAATCTGTACCACATAAAACCTGCAAACATACCCATCACAACACCTGGGAGGATTTCTGCAACCTGCAAGTCTCTCTTTGTGTCTCCAACAAAACCTAGTTTCCCTGCAAAGTGCAATAAAAGAAGACAGTTCAAGAAAGGATCAACATCCACATCTGTTTGTCAGAAATCCAGAAAAATAATTATAATCTAATCTACAGTCTAAGGGCTCATTCCCAATTAAACTTTGGTTCTACATAGATTGATCCTAAGCTGCAGGGACTCTCGCTGAATACAATCAGATTAACAGACTAACAAGGCATTGGCACTGAGTAAAACTAATTATATGAGTACAATGGCAACAAGAGGACGCTTGTTTATCTGTTAATCTGATTCTGTGAGAATCCCCGCAGAGTTGGAATGATCTTGGTAGAATGATAGTTTCAATGGGAATGACCCCTTAGAGTACAAATGGCTGATACAGTTAATATGAATTCTAAAAAAATAAAAATAATAGAAAAAGTAAGAACCAAAACACCCAGTTGGTTAGATTTCTACATCTTTTTCCAAAATGCTAATCATAACATTCAAAACCTTAATATAAATTTCTTTTTCTTTAAATTAGGAATATCTTCAACTTGAATTTTGACCTTAGACTTGACCTCTAACCTTTGTCTAGAACTGTGACCACTGTTCTCCCATGGCTGTCCTTGTCTTCTTGAAGGAGTCGTCCATCTACAGTGGTCACTTTTGTCGGCACTGGTTTCAACTTTGACTTGGAAAACCCCTCGATGTCACTCAGTAGGCTCATGTTAGAAGGACAGTCCTTCAAGAATTAATGACAATCATAATAATCACTTCAATTTATTTTATTTTATTTTTTTTATTATTCTAATTTTGATTTCATTCAGTTTTCATTCTGATGGTCAATTTGTGGAACAAACCTAGTTTGATTTTTGCCCATATTTTTTTTGTGTTACGACACTTCAATGCCAATTCTATTTTAGTCTACTCATACATATTATATGGAAGTCACATTTTACAAAGAAGCAACCGGGGTAAGTAAAAAGAAGAATTAAGAAGTATGTGCAACTCACAGACTCTTAATAATTAACACTTCCATTTTGTGTTCAAATTGCAGTTTTGGTTGTTTTGGCAAAATAAGGGCGTAGTCCTATCACCAAAAAAAGGCAAAGATAAATGTAAATATCTTGAATTGCATTCAAGATTACCTGAAACTTCCAGTCTATCTATCTATCTATCTATATATATATATATATATATATATATATATATATATATATATAATCCTTTACTAAATTTAATTGCTTTCTGGTAGGCAAAAATAGAAAGCTGTTAATCTGCTATAAGGTGCTTATGCTTAGCAATGGGAAATATCAGGGATGAGCATTTTGGGCTTCCAAAAGTTGGAAATCAGCCGATTGTCGGAAAAATCTCATCCCTGAAATATACAGTAATTTAAAAGGGCCGTAGCAATAATCCGAAAGTTCAATATTTCGAGGGTTCATTGCTCCGAATGTTTATTACACAACCTTCGGACCAACAAACTCTCGATTAAAAAACTGAAGAAACCGTTACAGTTTTTCAGACGAATGAACCTTCGGACCAATATATAAACCTTCAGACTAACGAGACGCCCTCAATTTTAAAGCCGATAACGATTTCGAGGTGATTTTTGTTTTTACTCATCATAATGATAGAATCATAAATGAAAATGTGATGCAGGAAAATACTCATTTTCGTTTTTTTTTTTCAATAATCATAAACCCTGCCTGTATCCTAAAAGATATCTGGCTCTATTGTTGTGACAGGGACAGGAAACTTGGGAAAGGGCAACGAAGAGACGAGATTGTTGACAGACGACCTTGCAACCCTTGTTCAAATACCTCCATTTGAGAATGACTCCTAATACACTGCTTACTTAAAACGTGTCTTATTAACCTTAAGCAATCAGTTACATATATGGAACAATTTTATTTGCGTTTTTTTTACCTGTATCTACTGGCCTTTAAAATGCATTTCCTTAAACCCATTGCTCTACAAGGGCGCAGCCATTTTCTTGGTACCCCGGATGCTGACCTAATTTTAATTAAAAAGCATCGTTCCAATGGTTGATTTCCCTCCCACTAAGATTGCTACATTAAACTCCTTAGAAAGCAAATGTGGAACCTATTAATAAATTTATCAGATCCCATTTTAAAGCAAGATTTTCTTTTATCAGTGAATTATTTTTTATTTCAATCAACTATATATAAATCAATTATATAAAAACTGCGTGAAGACTTTAAACTGAAATCTTCATTAGGTTCAGCACTCCATTTAAATGATGGAACAGCCACCACAACTTAAAGTCAAATATGGCGGAAAACGTGAGAGTTGCAGTGAGGGTTCGCCCTTTTATATCCTTTTTTCGTTATCTTAGATTGCCACAATCACTTAACAAATATTTCAGCAAGTAGAATAGAGTGTACTCCAGTTGGGAAATGAGTGGAAAGGTCAAATGGTGGATATCTTATAAGATACTATACGGTAACTAAGGTATACAAAAGTTTCAGAAAAGTCATTGATTTGGTTTATGGCACTTTATAAGTGAATATTACGCAACTCTAGTCATATTAATAGTCAATTTTATCGTCTCATGGTAGGTCACAAAATTAAAGTATTTTGGAGTCATTTATGTCTTTAATAGTGAATTCTTATCTCGAACTTTATGACCAAGAGTGTGGTATAAAGATACAACGTTTAGCATGCTGCTAAATGAAAGTTTTATGTCAGGTTGCACTTTATTACGACTAGCAATATTAATCAACGCAGCATCCCAGTGAAAGTTACTGATGCATTTTTTTTTTTTTTTTTTTTTTTTTTTTTTTTTGCATTATATGTGTTGAAGAAAGATGCAAATGGTCATTTCTGCTCTGATTTTATAATTGCTTACTAGTACTCTATTATCTTGGCAGTGCAGTTATAAACATTCCTTCCCCACTGTGGTAACAGTACAAACAAAGCATAACAGTTTTATGTTCAATGTCAACAGTTGTCAAGTTTTGAAGTCAATATTGTGGTACTCTTTAAATAGATAAAGGATCATTGCGGGCAAATTATGGCTCTTGTTTAAATAGATTAACTGGAATTTTTGCAGTCAATAATGATGTTATAGCAATATTGTTTTGAAAGTTGTTGTCAGGTTGTGACCTCAGTGCATTTCATTGAAAATTCAGCAAATTAAGTTAACAACTTTAAAAATGATTAAATGAATAAAGTTGAGTTATTTGAAATCCAGTTGATTAATATATTTTGGTATCTTTCTTACACCACCTTTTTCAGGTAAATTTAATATAATTTATTGGAGTGGAAATACCAATAACGCTGATTATGGCTATTGTTGCAAGGAAGCTATTATTGTTACTGAGTGTAGAGCAATGTTCATGAGAATTATAATGTTTACTGGTGTTTATAGCATTTAGTTCTTTTTATTAAAGATCAAACATAACATTCACCTCTAAAGTTCCAGCTCATTTTAATTAAGACAGAATATTTACATCAGACATTACTACAAAAGATATTTTAAGCCAAATTTATTTTTCCACTGGTCCTAATATATCTTTGTAAAATGTATCTGATCAGAATAATCTAGTTAACATTTTTCAGCACGATAATATACTATATATAATAAAGATGTATTTTTTTCTGCTGTACGTACCTTTTTACTGCTGTGCCATGATTTTTAGCAAACACTACTCTCACATCAGAAAGTGAGTTATAACTATGATAAGAAATGAAGAACAGTACTTTCTAATCCTATCAAATTGTGAATTATATGGTTATACTTCCATATTTCATTTTTATTTCTGCCTGGTCAGAAGAAGCTATCTCTCATTTTTTTCAGTGAGTTCTGAAGGAATGATTTCATTAATTAAAAATGTGATTTTTTTAAGAATTGAAATAATCAAAACAAAAAATTGTAAGCTAGCTGCCAACATTTTAGTAAATGTCCTTAACAGTTCCCACAATACAAGGGAAAAGGAGCGCAATGCGGTCCTGATCATCGACATGAAAGGGAACACCACAGAGATAAAGGACCCTGCTGCGCCCAAGGGAGAAAAGCCAAGGACTTTCACTTTTGATTTTTCCTACTGGTCACATGACGGGTTCAAGGAGGAACAAGATGGCTACCTGTCACCTTCAGGAAGCAGATATGCCGATCAGGTGGGGATTAATTTTTTGTGAACTTACTTTTCAACTTCATCTCCAGGAAAACAGATGTCTGGTTGATTTTTTTAAAAAGGTTTTTATGACAACTTTCACTTAACTGCACCTGAGGGAATGTTATTGACAAGACATTAAGAATCTCCAAGATAATTTAAAGAAATTCTGTCAGCTTGGACCATGTGCAAATAAGGATTCAGAAATAATGAGGATTGAAAAATAAGGTGGCATGCAGGGATCTGAAGCTTAGAGTGACTCACTGATGGTTGCTGTGAGATAAGCATTTTGCTTTTAAATGGGATTTTTTTTTACATGTATCTCAAAATAAAAAGTAGATCCTACAGTTCTGTTAATCATTAGCCCAAAATTCAGAACCGTCTGTTTGCTTTTAGACAATGTTTCCTGAACATACAATTAAATATCAAAGTGCCGCAAGAGTTACAGATTTGTTAAATTGATTTTTGTACTGGTGATGGCAGTTTCACTTTCATTTCAGAGAAAAGTATTCAATGACCTGGGACAGTCCGTGTTGGACAATGCATGGAAGGGGTACAACTGCAGTTTGTTTGCCTATGGACAGACTGGGTCTGGGAAGTCTTACTCTATGACAGGATATGGGAACAATAAAGGTAAACGATGGAATTACTCTGGTATGATTATAATATTCATCACTATAGTCAATGTGTTAACTTTAAACTTCTTATTTTTAAAGTTTTCATATAGATTAATTTGATGCATTGATGGGAGAAGTGGGGATATTTAAAAATATAAAAAATTATAAAAAATGCCTGGAGGACCCCAAAATGTTGAGTTATTGGCCACACTTTGCGTCATTATTTCATTAATTAATAATTCAATTATTCATTCAGGAATTGTCCCTATTTGCTGTGAGGAACTTTTCAAGGGTATAGAGGAAAAGAAGAAAACGGCCCAGAAGGGAGAGGAGTTTCAGGTAACGGAGGGCAAACTATTTATTTTAAAGTTTATTTAAAGGTAAACACTACTTAAATAAATAAATAAATAAATAAATAAATAAATAAATAAATAAATAAATAAGCCACAGATAAATTTTGTTGTAATATATATATATATATATATCACATGTTTTATGGGCATACAAAATGCAGTATGTTTTGAAAATTGAAAGCAGGATTGTTCCATGGCCATCAAAGTCATTTTCTTACTTAAAAATTATTTTAGTGGCATATCTTATGACTTGTAGTTTTTCTGTAATAATGCATGTGATATCTTTTAATCTATCATTAATCTTAGAGTACCCAACATTTAGATGAGAAGAATGTGAATGGAAAACTGTAGATAATCACTGACAATTAATTTTAGTTTCGTTAAACCTTAGAGAATTCTGAATCAGAGAAAAACAAGATGAATGAGTATAGATTGTCAAAGAATTTAAATTGTACTTTTAACATGCAGCTAAGGAATGATTTTTAATGCATGTGTTGCTACATTCAGGTACAAGTTAGTATGCTGGAAATCTACAATGAACAAGTACGTGACCTTCTGACCTCCAAAAAGGCACCAAAAGGAGGTTTGAAAGTTCGCCAGCATCCATCCAAAGGATTTTATGGTGAGCTTTTGACAAGTCCTTCTTTAAGTGTTTCCCAATTCATGCACTTGCTCAATTCTTCAATGATAATTTTTATGTCTTGGATTATTATAAATTATCAATAATTTTCAACAATTTGTTACACTAGCATTGTGTTGTTGAATTTATCAATTTTATCAATACTGGTACAGTTGTAAGTGGAATTGTTTTGATTTTTACGAATGAAATTAACACAATACTGCTTACTAATATTTGTTAATTGACTGGGATTTAAGATGATTAGATTGTGATGAATGTATTCAATAGGTTCAAGATTCTGGTAATAACTATTATCCAGTTTTGATGATGGCATTGTTAAGTACTAGTATTTTGGTGATGATAAAACATTCAGTGCCAAAGCTAAGTATTATATTTCCATTTTATTTCAGTTGAATCTCTAATCACATGCCCAGTGAATAGCTATGCTGATATAGACAATAAATACCAGGAGGGTGCCAGAAACCGGACTGTTGCTGCAACACAGATGAATGCCACCAGCAGGTACTTGGTTGATGCAAGATTATCATTTCAGTGATTGAGAGAATATTTTAATTTAATGCCACCAAGTAAACTATTCATTGGTCTCATTTGCATATGTATAAATGTCATACATGTATAACTGTCTGATAATTTTAGTGAAAGTCAAAATAGGGCAGAACTTAATCACGAATTGATAGCAAATTGGTGATATTATGGTTATTAAGTATTAAACTTTCTGTTCACAGGTATGTCATTGACCTTTTAGCGTTTTGATTCATGGTTGTAACATAAAGGCCTAGTTTTAAGACATTTCAAGTATTGAGTAATTTGAGTACTGCTGTGGGAAATGACCCATAGGTATGAAGGCTTTTAAAACTTAAAATCTCATTTTTCTTACACTGTTCTTGCAGCCGTGCCCATACCATTGTTGGTATATATTTCACCCAGAAGACGCTGAATGACGCGGGGGAGAATATGACCAAGTCCTCCATCCTTTACCTGGTGGATCTGGCTGGCAGGTACGTTGTTGGTTTTTTTTTGGGGGGGGGAGATGCTGAGTACTAACAAACTAACACTTGCCAGTTTAGACAAAAAAAGTGATGAAAATTTAAACCAATTGGCCAGAAAAGTGATGAAAAAGTATTAACTTGGCTAAGAGAAAAATATTGCTGGTGGTGGTAATAACAATAAATACAATGTACAGTTGTAAGCGAAAGACTGAGGCTTACTGGCTAGGGTCTTTTTACATTAGGAACCAAATGTTTATGCCTTTTGGGCAGCGTATAATGGCAGGCAAACACTTAGTTGACTAACTAGAAATTCAGACTTGAAATAAAGAAATAAGTATGTCAGTAGATAGTCATGTTAAGAAGACAAGAGGTTTACCAGCTCTCTGGGTGCTAGCATACAACAAACATGCACACAAATATATTCACAAATTAAACGTGTTGCTTACTGAACAAAGTCTAACCCAAGAAATTCATTCATTACTATTTCACTTTCAGTGAGAGAGCCGAGTCTACTGGAGCAACAGGAGATCGCTTGAAGGAAGGTTCCGCCATTAATCAGTCTTTAAGCACCCTGGGTAATGTGATCAAGGCACTGGCGGACAAAGGATCAGGACAGTCTGGAGTCATGGGTATGTGTGTGCACTGTCACAGCAGTATTGCAGTACTTGTTTTCATTTTGAAAGTGCTTATGATTCTTTGAAATTAATAAAAATGGGCAGAAAATTTCTGATTTGAAGTGATTACTGTTGTTGCATTTTTGTTACATTTCTATTTACAAATGTTTTTGAATTGATTGTGGCTTTCGTTGCATTAAGGCTATTGAGATTTCATATCTTTTAAGATATTTAAAAATATTTGGCTTTCATTAAAAAAACGTGATGACATGACAGCAGTTTGATTGACATTTAATTATATTATGACCAGCATTGTTTTGATAACAACAAATAATGTGTTTTATATGTCATCCTACCAGTTCCGTTCCGTAACTCTGTGCTGACCAAGCTGTTGAAGAATGCTTTGGATGGCAACAGCAAAACTATCATGGTGAGTAATAAAGGATAATAAAGGTTATTTTATTATTTTCATTAAATATTTTGATAATAATAATTATTATTACAAAAAAGTGTCATTTATTGCACACTTCATAAAATCCCTTTGTGCATCTGCATCATCTTCTTAAGCCAATGGGCATCTTCTTAATCTGATGGGGATTTCTTGATAATTAACAAATTGGCTTTTCATAATCATATGCAATTTTAAATATATTTTGTTAATATTTACTTTTTTTACTTTTAGATATTTGATTTTTATTATTAGATATTTTTAAATGTTATAAATTGTACTAAATATTTCATGGATTTTAGACTAGCAAAATATTTATTATTTATTTAATTTATTTATTTATGTTTAGATTGCTGCACTGAGCCCTGCTGATATTAACTATGAGGAGACACTATCCACTTTAAGATTTGGTAAGTCAGCCAGGCCTGCGACCATCAAAATCAAAATTTGCACTCCCACCCCCCATCCCCCCACCCCTCAGTTAACCTCAACTAAGAAATGGCAAAATTAATACTGTTAGATAAAATGTTGATTCAAAGTGTGCTTTTGCTAGCTGAAGGGGCAGTTCTTTCAAACATAAAAACTGATTGTCTGACTTTTGAGGTCAGTGTTTCCATATCCAGGCAAGCTGGAAACATCCCAAAATTATGACAGCCATTACAATGTTTTACTTTTCCTTTCTCATGAAAACACTCTGAAATATTTCATGTCAAATCATCTCATTTTCACATAGTAATTACTAGTAGCATCATCTTAAAGATAATGTAACTAAATTGAATTTTGTTTTAACTTAATAATTTGTTTTTGTGACATGAAGACCACATCTGTTATAGTCTCTTAGAGGTTTAAAAAAAGTATTTTCCAATACATAGCTGACCGAGCCAAAGCCATCAAGACCACTGCTAAGGTAAATGAGAGCCCCACGGACAGACTGATCCGAGAGCTGCGCGAGGAGAATGAACGCTTGAAGAAGTTGATGGAGTCTGGCGGCATAATGCCTGCCATGGAAGGGGATGGCGGCACCTCTGATGAAGGTGCATACAGTTATGAAAATATTTTCAACTTTAAGTTATTCACTTGTGAAATAAAGTAAATGCAGATGCACTGTCAATTATAGAGAAATGCACCATGATACTTGTTAATGTACATAAATATTTCATTGTGGTGTCCTTTAAGAAAAAGAAGAGATGCAGCGTCAGATGAAGGAGTTGATGGAGAGGAATCAGGCTGAGGTGGCGGCCATGCAGGCATCATGGGAAGAGAAACTGCAGAAGGAACGTGAGCAGAATGAGGTCTGGGCCTACATCTCTCTCTCTCTCTCTCTCTCTCTTTCTCCCTCTCTCTCTCTCTCACACACACACACACACAAACACAGGTAGTTAAAAAGTACTCATTTTGACACTGTGAAACTCGGATTACCTACAAACATATACTGCATCATCACCGTATGTATGGCAGGCCTGAAATATTTTGTTACAGACTTTGTTTTTATGGGTTTTGTCCTGTATGAAGTACATTTTGCAACCAAAGTTCATTTTGCTACCAAAATATATTTTGAATATTTACTTATAAAAAAAGTAATAAAATTTATCTGTTTCATCCTCAGGCGCAAAGTGTAAGTTAGGTGTTGTACTGTTGCATGATTTGTGTCATTTCAGCACATGCTGTTTAACCTTAAAAAGCAGCTGAAAAGTATTTTTTACTGTTGCATGTTTTATTGCAGATTTAACTGATGCTACGGCTTTTTCATTTTGCCTTGGTTTTAGGTTAACTACCACTTGGATTTTTAAATTATATTTTTAGTTACTTCTTCTTTTCAGTTTTTGTGTTATGTGGAATGCATATCAAAAGATTAATAACTTAAGATTTTCATTCAAAAAGCTTGCTGTTATTTTAAAAGCAGTTCAGTTTGTATGTGCTTTGGAAAGTGGCATTTTAAGCATTACAGTGTATATGATGTACATTTTGTTGGCCTGATTATTTGAGACCACTGAGACCATGACATACAGCACTGCATGAGAAATGTGTGTTCACAGCTTATTTTTTGACAAGTTAATTAAAATCCTTCTAACAAATTGCTTTTGGGTTTTTTGCCAGAATTATTCCAAAAAATTATATTCTTCATATCTTTTGTCTCTTCCCTAGTACAGCTTTCAACTTTTGTAACTAAAACAATCCCATTATAAAGTTCATTTTATTTATTGATATTTTTTACAATTGTCATCAGCCTACCTGTTTAACACATGCATAAGACCATAAATTATTTTGAAACTCATTCACAATTTTCAGAAAGCATTGGCTGAACAAAAACAGAAGGAAGAGGAGAAGAAAGTGACCCCATATTTTTGGAACTTAAATGAAGATCCTTCTTTATCTGGGATGTTGATCCACTTCTGTAAGCCAGGTAAGAAATGGAGGGGTTGATTTCCATACTGGTTTAAATGCATAATCAATGTCAGACCTGCTTCCTGGATTGCATCGTGGAAATGGGCGAATTTGATATGTTTAAAAGATNTAGGTCCGCTCATGTTATTGACCATTTTACCTGACAAAATGACCTTTTTTGCATCTTTATTTTCTGTTTTTTGTCTGTACATTTGACAGCTTTGCTGCCTTGTTAATACATGTGTTGCTACATTCAGGTACAAGTTAGTATGCTGGAAATCTACAATGAGCAAGTACGCGATCTTCTGACCTCCAAAAAGGCACCAAAAGGAGGTTTGAAAGTTCGTCAGCATCCATCCAAAGGATTTTATGGTGAGCTTTTGACAAGTCCTGTCTCTAAGAGTTTCCCAATTCATGCACTGGCTCAATTCTTCAGTGATAATTTTTAGGTGTCTTTGATTATTATAAATAAATTCATCAATTTTCAACTATTTGTTACACCAGCATTGTGCTGAATTTATCAATTTTATCAATACTGGTACAGTTGTAAGTGGAATTGTTTTAATTTTTACATATAAAATTTACACAATATTGCTTACTAATATTTGTTAATAGACTGGAATTTAAGATAATTAGATTGTGATGAATGTACTCAATAGGTTCAAGATTCTGGAAATCACTATTATCCAATTCTGATGATGGCATTGTTAAGTACTAGTATTTTGCTGATAAAACATTCTTACAGTGTCAAAGCTAAGTATTATATTTCCATTTTATTTCAGTTGAATCTCTAATCACATGCCCAGTGAATAGCTATGCTGATATAGACAATAAATACCAAGAGGGGGCCAGAAACCGGACTGTTGCTGCAACACAGATGAATGCCACCAGCAGGTACTTCACTGACTCAAGATTATCATTTCAGTGGTTGAGAGAATATTTTAATTTAATGCCACCAAGTTAACTATTCATTGGTCTCATTTGCATATGTATAAATGTCATACATGTATAACTGTCTGATAATTTTAGTGAAAGTCAAAATAGGGCAGAACTTAATCACGAATTGATAGCAAATTGGTGATATTATGGTTATTAAGTATTAAACTTTCTGTTCACAGGTATGTCATTGACCTTTGAGCGTTTTGATTCATGGTTGTAACATAAAGGCTTAGTTTTAAGACATTTCAAGTATTGAGTAATTTGAGTACTGCTGTGGGAAATGACCCATAGGTATGAAGGCTTTTAAAACTTAAAATCTTGTTTTTCTTTCACTATTCTTTCAGCCGTGCCCATACCATTGTTGGTATATATTTCACCCAGAAGACGCTGAATGACGCGGGGGAGAATATGACCAAATCCTCCATCCTCTACTTGGTGGATCTTGCTGGCAGGTATGTTGTTGGCTTGGGGAGGGGGAAGGTTGGGGGTGGGGCAGAATATAAACAAGTCCTCCATCCTCTACTTGGTGGATCTGGCTGGCAGGTACGTAGTTGGCTTGGGGGTGGGGGGGGGGAGATGCTGAGTACTAACAAACTAACACTTGCCAGTTTAGACAAAAAAAAGTGATGAAAATTTAAACCAATTGGCCAAAAAAAGTGATGAAAAAGTATTAACTTGGCTAAGAGAAAAATACTGCTAGTGGTAATAACAATAAATACAATGTAAGTGACAGACTGATGCTTACTGGCTAGGGTCTTTTTACATTAGGAACCAAATGCTTATGCCTTTTGGGCAGCGTATAATGGCAGGCAAACACTTAGTTGACTAACTAGAAATTCAGACTTGAAATAAAGAAACAAGTATGTCAGTAGATAATCATGTTAAGAAGACAAGAGGTTTACCAGCTCTCTGGGTGTTAAAAGTAATGTACTTCATCCCATGCACACAATATATGTTTATATATCACATACGTAGCCTGTCTTTCCAGGTGACACAGAACAGTCTTCTGTAGATTTCATCTCCAAAGCATTGATTCTTTTTTCTTCTCTCTCTTGGTAATTGTCCAGCTTTCGCTAGCATACAACAAACATGCACACAAATATGTTCACAAATTAAACGTGTTGCTTATCGAACAAAGCCTACTAAGAAATTCATTCATTACTATTTCACTTTCAGTGAGAGAGCCGAGTCTACTGGAGCGACAGGAGATCGCTTGAAGGAAGGTTCTGCCATTAACCAGTCGCTAAGCACCCTGGGTAATGTGATCAAGGCACTAGCGGACAAAGGATCAGGACAGTCTGGAGTCATGGGTATGTGTGTGCACTGTCCCAGTAGCATTTCAGTACTGGTTTTTAATTTTGAAAGTGCTTATTACTGTTTGAAATTACTAAAAATGGGCAGAAAATGACTTATTTGAAGTCATAGCTGTTGTTGCTTTTTTTCTTATCAAATATTTGTTATAAATGATTGTTAAGATTTCAAATCTTAGATATTTGACTTTCATTTACAAAACAGGTAATATAATGACAGCAGCTTTGACATTTCATTATTTTATGGCCAGATTGTTTTGATAATAAAAATGCCAAGTATTGTGATATACATAATGTGTTTTATATGTCATCCTACCAGTTCCGTTCCGTAACTCTGTGCTGACCAAGCTGTTGAAGAATGCTTTGGATGGCAACAGCAAAACTATCATGGTAAGCAATTAAGATAATAAATGGTTATTATTTTCATTGTCATTATAACTTTATGATAATTATATTTATTATTACAGCAATAAAAGTAATAATCTCTGTGCATCTGCAGCATCTTATGAAGCCACAGATGGATTAATCAGATAGGCACTTCTTGATAATTAGCAACTCAGTTTTTCATAATCATTTGCAATTTTAGATATATTTTGTTGATTTTTTTTTTTAGCTTAATATTTATATTAATCCAAATATAATTTTTATTTAAAGATATTTTTCAGTGTTATAAATTCTACTGAATATTTTATGGATTTTAGACCAGCATAATATGTCTTATTTATTTATTTATTTATTTATTTATTTAATTCATTTTTTTTTTATTTATTCATGTTTAGATTGCTGCACTTAGCCCTGCTGATATTAACTATGAGGAGACACTATCCACTTTAAGATTTGGTAAGTCAGCCAGGCCTGCAACCATCAGAATCAAAATCTGGACACCTTCTCCCCCTTAGTTTAACCCATATGGGAAATGGCATAGTGCATACTCTTAGATAAAATTATGCTAACTATTACAATGATTTTCTTTCCTTTTCTCATGTAAACACTAAAATATTTCCTGTCAAAACATCTTCCTTTCACAGAAAGATTTGAATTTTAGACTTCAACACAACTAGCTATAATTTTTTTTTCTGTAACTCTTTATATGAAATATAAAAAGCTTCATCTTAAAAAGAAAAGTAAGTAATTTTTTTTAACTTAATAATTTGACACAATGACCACATCTGTTATAATCTCTCAGAGAAAAACTTTTAAAAAAGTCCTTTCCAATACCTAGCTGACCGTGCCAAAGCCATCAAGACCACCGCCACGGTAAACGAGAGCCCCACAGACAGACTGATCCGAGAGCTGCGCGAGGAGAATGAACGCTTGAAGAAGTTAATGGAGTCTGGTGGCATAATGCCTGCCATGGAAGGGGATGGCGGCACCTCTGATGAAGGTGCGTGCAGTTATGAAAATATTTTCAACTTTAAGTTATTCACTTGTGAAATAAAGTAAATGCAGATGCACTGTCAATTATAGAGAAATGCACCATGATACTTGTTAATGTACATAAATATTTCATTGTGGTGTCCCTTCAGAAAAAGAAGAGATGCAGCGTCAAATGAAGGAGTTGATGGAGAGGAATCAGGCTGAGGTGGCGGCCATGCAGGCATCATGGGAAGAGAAACTACAGAAGGAACGTGAGCAGAATGAGGTCTGGGCCTACATCTCTCTCTCTCTCTCTTTCTCCCTCTCTCTCTCTCTCACACACACACACACACAAACACAGGTAGTTAAAAAGTACTCATTTTGACACTGTGAAACTCAGATTACCTACAAACATATACTGCATCATCACCGTATTTATGGCAGGCCTGAAATATTTTGTTACAGACTTTGTTTTTATGGGTTTTGTCCTGTATGAAGTACATTTTGCAACCAAAGTTCATTTTGCTACCAAAATATATTTTGAATATTTACTTATAAAAAAAGTAATAAAATTTATCTGTTTCATCCTCAGGCACAAAGTGTAAGTTAGGTGTTGTACTGTTGCATGATTTGTGTCATTTCAGCACATGCTGTTTAACCTTAAAAAGCAGCTGAACAGTATTTTTTACTGTTGCATGTTTTATTGCAGATTTAACTGATGCTACGGCTTTTTCATTTTGCCTTGGTTTTAGGTTAACTACCACTTGGATTTTTAAATTATATTTTTAGTTACTTCTTCTTTTCAGTTTTTGTGTTATGTGCAATGCATATCAAAAGATTAATAACTTAAGATTTTCATTCAAAAAGCTTGCTGTTATTTTAAAAGCAGTTCAGTTTGTATGTGCTTTGGAAAGTGGCATTTTAAGCATTACAGTGTATATGATGTACATTTTGTTGGCCTGATTATTTGAGACCACTGAGACCATGACATACAGCACTGCATGAGAAATGTGTGTTCACAGCTTATTTTTTGACAAGTTAATTAAAATCCATCTAACAAATTGCTTTTGGGTTTTTTTGCCAGAATTATTCCAAAAAATTATATTTTTCATATCTTTTGTCTCTTCCCCAGTACAGCTTTCAACTTTTGTAAGTAAATTAATCCCATTATAAAGTTCATTTTATTTATTGATATTTTTTACAATTTTCATCAGCCTACCTGTTTAACACATGCATAAGACCATAAATTATTTTGAAACTCATTCACAATTTTCAGAAAGCATTGGCTGAACAAAAACAGAAGGAAGAGGAGAAGAAAGTGACCCCATATTTTTGGAACTTAAATGAAGATCCTTCTTTATCTGGGATGTTGATCCACTTCTGTAAGCCAGGTAAGAAATGGAGGGGTTAATTTCCATACTGGTTTAAATGCATAATCAATGTCAGACCTGCTTCCTGGATTGCATCGTGGAAATGGGCGAATTTGATATGTTTAAAAGACACAATTACTTTTGGACATGTTCTGCTTTTCTTGATTTTTTTCCATTTTTTTATTGCACTCAAAGGATTTCTGATATTCTTAAATCTTTTTGTAATCTTTTTAATCTATATTTATTATTTAAAAAAAATCAACAAATGTTTATTTGCCTTGAAAAAAATCTTGATTCTCTTTAAGTTGTATGTGCAAGACTTCCTAGTAAATGGAGACTCTATCAGTCCATCTGACAACTTTGCAATTTAATTTGTGCAATTGACATTATATTAAAAAAGAGGCTTAATAAATAAAAACTGCTTTGTACGTAGATTAAGAATATTAGAGACACAACTGGTAAATTATATCCTTTATGTTTTCAACTAAAACTATATAAAATAAGACAAAGATAATCTATGTGGCTTATTCCTTTCACATTGTTATTTTAGGTCAATCCAGAATTGGAACAAAGAATGCCAAACCCCCTCCAGAAATACAGCTCAGTGGACTCAAGTAATAAAACCTGACATAGTTTACTGTGATTAAAAAAGGACAAATTTTAACAATATTACTTTGTTAAAAATCTCATTTCTTTATATTTAATAGAAAGTGTTAAGTCCAGTTGTATAGAATTTGTTCTTGATTTGTTTATACCTACCAACCCATATTTTATTTCAAAAATCTATTTATACTGATAAGCTTTTGTACAATGAATGATACATCCTGTCAATAATTTAAAAAAGCAAAAGCCATTTTACAACACTCCGGGATGTTGTCACATTTTACTCAAAACATTATATTGTTTATTAAACTCCACACCATATAAGGCATGAATGTGGTTGTAATAAATTGTAAATATTTCATTTCCCCAGTATCCAGATGGAACATGCTACTGTGACTAACAAGGATAACAAAGTGTCCATCAAGCCCACATTTCAGTCAGCGGTCATCATCAATGGAAAAGAAATCTCAAAAGAGGAGTTACTGCACCATAATGACAGGTAGGTGGAGCTACTGCACAGATGTTCAAGACTTGCTTCTAAACCATTTATGTTGTTGGAACTTCAGATTAAAAACTTGTTCGCTGTTTGTTGAAATACTCATTTAAAGCACTTTTATATGATAATTTGATAGCCATTCATTGAAAATAATATGAACAGTGTTGTATTTATTCATTGCATTGCAAATTTTTGACTCCATGAGCCTTTTGTGCATCATCATTTCTGTTAATTGTTTCCATAATTTCTGTGTTGACTAGTATTTTGAAAAACACATCAGAGATTAAATTGCTTTGATTTTGATCTTCAGGATATTATTTGGTTCCACAAATCTGTTTGTGTTCCACCACCCAGTGGATTATGCCCAGCAGTTGAAGCAAGGCAAGAAGGTCGAGGCACCAACATTTGAAAAGGCACAGGAAGAAATCTCGGAGACGGCCCTACAGAAAGTTGGCTTCTCTAAAGTCGGGCAGTCCGGAAGTAAAGGTAAATATTTCTGATTGGGTTTTTCCACAAAGTGAAATTCTTCCAGTCATATCAGATTCAGTGAAACATACATTTTGTGTAATGTTTGCATAACTGTTAACTTACATCACATTTTGATTCCAGTGGTGTTTATATTGGAGGGTACAGTACTATAATTGTAGAAAGGAAAGAAAATAATGGAGCTGTCGGAATTACGCAAATGTTCCACAAAATGTGCATGACAATGACATGACTCAGAGAATCACTTTTAGTGGAGAGATATTATAAATATAGCATGTTTTTCTTAGGTTAATATCCATTTTTTACTTTTAACAGTTCAGCCAAACCACCTGGAAGTTGTATGTATGTATGTGTACATGTATATATGTGCTTAACTCATTATAATTTTTTTTCCAGAGGACCTTGTCCTCCAAGATGACCTTGTCCGTACCATGCCCATGGTCAACCAGTGCAATGCCATGTCAGAGTGCCTGAACAAGAAGAGGTTTTTTGAGATAGCCCTGGTGTCTCCACAGGCCAGGGGGCTGAAAGAAGGCAGGACAGAGGTAAAGTTTCATAGTGATTTTTTTCAACTTTGGGGGTCTTTTCTTGCTAAAAATTCATGTTTGAAAGTTTGTTCTTCTGTTTGAGAGTGTTTAAATTGCCCTAGAGTTCCTGACAGGATTAGGGCAGGTGGAGTTTGGGGGTGGGGGGGGGGGAGGAGAGAGAGAAGAAAACAAACAAAATTCCTCACATGTCATTGATAAGCAATGTACTGTTTGTAACTCATATATTTATATATTATATACAGGGGCGGATTTAAGCCGTCTTCTGGGTCTTCTGGAAGATGGCCAGATTTTCAAGTTTACATTGATGGGTATCTAATTTTTTCTGTTGGAAGATGGTCAAAAATGGCAGATGGGTCAAAAAAGATAATTTGGAAGACTGTCAGAAAATATCTCTGGATCCGCCCCTGATATATTTATATATTTGATATAAAATCAATCATACCGAATACTGACGTACACGCAAATATGATTGTTGCCTATATTTTCTCTTTAAATAATTAACAAATGAATTAATTAATTTATATATATTTATTCATTTATATTATTTTTTTATTCTTTCTATGTAGGTCATGGTTAAGATGAAGAACTTGGAGAACGGCAACGAGTGGATGTGGCCATATGATAAGTTTCTGAACAGAAAATACAAGATGGAGGAGATGTACAATGACTTTATCAATGATGAGAAGGATTGGGATGAACCTCCAGTAAGATTTCACTTCTAGATTATTTAACTACAAACCTTCTTTAAAGTTTGTAATCATATGAATTCAGATGAAAAATACATTTAATAAAATATATGAATTAGAGGTTGTAGATTGTCAGAAAGAACAGTACGTAGTAGACTGTTATAAAGTTTAATGCCAAACAGAAATTTTTGAAAAAAAATTGTAGGTCATGTGTCAGGATGGAGGGACAGGTTTCAACTGGCATCCAGTGTTGAATTGGTGTCATATTAATCTGAGAAATTGTTTACATTTTATTTATTTTATTACAGGAGAAGGATCCATTCGAGGAATCTGCTGACTCAGCAGTTTTAATTGGGTCAGTTCAGGTGTTCCTGCAGTCCCTAGGGTATTTGATTGACACTGACGAACACCTGTCAATCACAGACTTCAGGGGAATTGAACATGGTATGTAGGTTCAGCAGTTTTGCTGATTCAGTTTTGTTTTACATAATTTTACTGTAAATTTATATAGAGGTTCTTTTCTGTTGGTTCAGAAAGTATAGCACAATTGTGAAATGGTATGAATTGGTTTGCATGCAGTGCAAAAGTGTTTCACACCCAAATGAGTGCTCATGCACACACACACACACACACACACAAACTCTCATACACACACACACACATGCAGGCATCTAATTAATGACTTAAACTGATTGCTGTATTCAAGTTAAACAGTCTACAAGAGAAACATTATTTGTGCATGCAGAAATAGTTTAAGAGAAGAGTTGAACTGAGAAATGGTTAACTTTACCGTACCAATGAATTCTTATGTCTTGCAGGCCGCATGCAGGTGCAGGCTCTTCCATGTGACGCTAAGTGGAAGCCAATTGAAGATGATTTTGTGGAGGACCCTTATGAACTTGTGGGAAAACAACTTAATTTCAAAATGAAAATTGGGAAAGTTGGTGGAATTCCTTCCAAGTATGAAAAGGTTGGTAGACTTCTTTGCTTGTAAGTTTTTATTGCTACTTGTAATATGATAAACAAATGGGTTATGGTACACTGACACGTGTTTTAATCTTAAAATGAGATAAAGATATAAATCAGGATAATTTACATGAAAAATGTAGACTCGTTGCTTTGATTGGTGCCATCATAAATATTTAGTAGAATTGGAAGAAGATTTTTACAATTATTTAAACTGATAAAATAATAATTTTGCTTTGGATAGAAAACATTCTGGAAAGGTTGATGAGTCAGAACTTTTTTGTTAAAAGCTGAGTTATTTAAAGTTATCAATGGAACAAAAGACTCAGAGCATATTTACTAGACTGTTTATATTTTACTGCCATGATTATCAGCAGGATTTCCTTATGTATGTAAGGATGAATAAAAGCAGACAAAAGTAATATTTGATATATTGGGAGGTCTACATGCCATTGGTATAATCTAAATTTCCAGGTCTATGTGAGCTATAAGTTCTACCTAGACGACACCCCAGCAGTGTCCAAGGAGATGAGTGGAGTAAACATGGACTTCAACTTTGACAAACAGTTCACATTTAAACCTGTCACACAGCAGGTCAGTGCAGGAGGGGTTTTCTTTTTTTCACCATTTATTTATTTATTTATTTTA